CCAGATTTTCAAATAGTTGTATCTCAGCCAAATATTGTCCTATCATAACAAACCATACATCAATGGAAAGATTATTTATTCAGCTTTCAGATGATGCATAAATCTCAATTTCGAAAAATGGACCCTTATGACTGGTTTTGTGCTCCAGGGTCACATACTATATAGTATTATTCCTTAATATTTTAAATTAGCTTTTACAGCTTTGGTTTTCATTTGAATTTTAGTTTACGTTTTAGCAATTTTGCTAAATTTTTATTTATTCTTCTATGTAGCTTTAACTTTTATTTTTATATTGTTTCAGTTATTTTTTGGTACTTTGTGCTTATTTTTAACTTATTTATTTATAGGCAAATGGTAATTTAACAGTTTTCACTAGAATTTTAGTTTATGTTTATGTATTTTTTTTTATTTTAATTTTAGTAATTTGTATTTGCTTGTATGTTTTGAAGCTATATTTACTTGGTTAAATTCTTAACAATTGTTTTGATTTATTATTCATTTGTAATTATTTTAAAAAGTAGCCTGCTTATATAATTTAATAACAATGCACAAAATAAATTTGATATAAAATGAATATGTAGCCATGTGCCGTAATATTGAAAATTGAGGATGTGACGCATTGTGATATCGAAGTGTTGACATGACACTCGTAATCGAATCGAGAAACCAGTGACGATTCTCACCCTAATATGTTATGCTACACCACTCACCGACAAACCACACAAGCAAGGCCCATTTCCATGGCAAAGTCGTCAGCATTGGTTTCCTCAATGTCCGTGAAATCTGGGATGGGAATATCCTTGGTTTGAAAAGCAATGGGAGAGGAATGACTGTCTGGCTTCTCCACACGAGGTTTTTTAGGCGCCTCCGCTCCTTCCCCAGGATCAACCCTAATCTGCACATCACACAGTCTTTTATTATTAGTGGCTTAGGCTGAGCTTTTCCAGTGATCTCATATTATGCAATAATACATCACAGTGCAAAATAACATTTAAAAAGACCTTTTCCAAAGATCTCTTCTCGCCCTCTTTCTTGGTCTTCTCCGAGCTGCTCGCTTTACTGCTGCTGCTGATGGAGGAGGATGATGATGATGATGATGAAGATGATGAACTAGAGGAGGATTTGGAGTCTTGTTTGGTCATTTTTGGTAATGACACCTTGCTCGCCTCGGCTTCCTAAAGAATGGGTCACACATTAATACATCTAACACTTCAATTCCACACTTTTAAACCAACTTGTTTGGCTGGATATTTACTGCTGCTGCTGATGGAGGAGGAGGATGATGATGATGAAGATGATGAACTAGAGGAGGATTTGGAGTCTTGTTTGGTCATTTTTGGTAATGACACCTTGCTCGCCTCGGCTTCCTAAAGAATGGGTCACACATTAATACATCTAACACTTCAATTCCACACTTTTAAACCAACTTGTTTGGCTGGATCACCTTCAGAGAAGTCCTACAGATGGAGTCGCTGCCCCTGGCTAAAGACTCCTCCAGCAGGGCCTTCAGTTTCTCCACAGAGTCTTTGCTCTTGGAGTGAAGGTAGCTCAGTCCCTTCAGAAAGACGGGGTCTAGCTCTAGACTGACTGCTCCTGACATTGCGTAGCCTTGTTATGTGATTTTACACAAGACAACGAATCTTCCTGTGTTTAGTGTGCTAACACTAGATTAGCCGCATTCCGTCTCGCACGATCTCGCGTTTTTCTAAGATAACTAAGCAACTGGAACTAACTGACTCGAGATTAAGGTCTTCAAGTTTCTGTGTAAACAGTAGTAAACCACAATATCACCCTTAGCACTAATTAACTAAGTTAGCAGTGAGTGTTTTGCGGCTTGAAACGATCCGACTAGCGTTACCTGACAGACGCAGTGAGTCAGGGTTGCCAGGTTTTCACAAGAAAACCCGCCCAATCGCGTTTGAAGAGGGAGAAAACCGTTTAAAATGGCGTTCCGGGGAGAAAAATACACTTTTTTGGCGGGCTTCCTGGTAAAATTCGTATTCCAGGGGCTAAATATCACGTTATCGGGATCGCTTCAACCTGCAGACATGAAAAACTACCCGCGGCAAGCGTGTTAAAGTAAGCCCAAATCCCACGGAACTGGCAACACTGCGAATGAGCAGAGCGGGAAACTCACAGTGGGCGGGGCTTGGCGGCCAGGAGGTTTTCTCTGATTGGTCAGATGCGATCGTTCTCTGTTTTACGTTTCTAATTTACCTATTTGCTCAGCTGTGCGTTTTCGATACAAAGGCGATAAACGTTTATCAGCGTCCGTTTAAATTACCCCCCCACGCTGTTTTTATTACGTAAGCTCGTTGCTTTTCTCACTACTGGTCGGAATGTCACAATCACAGTCATTTCTGATTAGTAGACGTGGATTATTAAAAAGAAAACTACGCTAGCAGAAATCCACAAGTGGGTCACACACTATTCCCTGGAATAAACGGAGGAAAAATTTTTTATTTTTATACATTTTCTGTCCAAATGTCTCTAATAAGATGTAAATTTGTGCGACTTGAGCCTTCGAGTGCCCCCTACAGGACGACACGTGCATGTAAGTGATGTTTGCCGACTACTCTTTAATTATTTTTATATTTTATATTAATATTATTTTTATAGTCTATTAAATAAGCGATGCGTTTTAGCTGTCATATTCAGGCACGACACCTCAACAAGAAATATCAAGTTGCAAATGATTTACAAATATCACTATATATATATAGGCGGTTCCAAGATGGCGCCGACGCTGATGGCTGCCTCCGTGGCGTGCTCCTCAGTTGTTTTTATGTTTTTGTTAGTTTGTCCTGTCTTTAGTTATATCCCTGCAATCAGTTTCACCCACCACGAATTGCTGGACATTCGGAAGTACACACCACCCGATATTTCACCGGTTTTTGATTATTCTGATGTTTTGCTGGACATTGTAGTCAGGGGAGCTGTACTTATCCAGAGTGAGCAAAAGGGCTGGCAGAATCACTCTGGACCCCTCACATCCAGCACACTCCCTCTTTGAACTGTTGCCATCTGGTCGATGCTACAGAGCTCTGAGCACCAGAACGGCCAGACACAGGAACAGTTTCTTCCCTCAGGCAATTAATCTCATGATCACTTAACAATAACTGTGGAACACACACTATTTATTCACTCATACACTTATTTATCTAACACACATACTCAGTCTACATTTCAATTTGCACATAATATACCTGTACATACAAAACTGTCTATTGTAATATACCTGCACATACAATTGTCAATTTATATATTTTTATTCCTTATTTACTTCTTCTATTTTTTTTATTTTTTATTATCTGTGTTTTTTGTTCTGTCACTGTCATTCTGTTACACTGTGGAAGCTTCTGTCACGAAAACAAATTCCTTGTATGTGTAAACATACCTGGCAATAAAGCTGATTCTGATTCTGATTCTGATTCTTCTATATATAAATTTATAAGCAAATGAAAAAGCAAAATGAGAGGGAATGAGTCGGACACTAATAAATGTAACACAAGTAAATGCTACGCAGTGCGGGAAATTGTAATATCCTCGATATTCAGCGAGGTCCGTCAAAAATATGTTTTTTATGAAGCCATCTAAGACTATTTATTGTGCGAAATCATATCGGAGGCAAGGTTGCCAGGTATTCACAACAAAACCTGCCAAATTGCTACTCAAAACTAGCCCAATTGGGTTCCGGGAGGTAATATGCACGTTTTTGTTTTGTTTTGGCGGGTTCCTGGTAAAATTCGCATTCCAGGGGCTAAATATCACGTTATTGGCGTCGCTTCAACCCGCGGACATGATAAACAACCATAGACTGTATAAAAACATGGACGTAGTGTCCGTGACGTCACCCGTAGGTTTCCGAAGAGCGGAGCCGGCCGTCGCCATCTTGGCAGCACGTCACTCCCGGATAATCGAAAATGGGAAAAGAGGCGGGAGCTGGGTGCTGAAGCCACACCCACCTAGCTCGACGGTGGTGACAGCAGCGGCAATCCACCTGTCACTCAAGTGGCCACGCCCTTAATTATGCAGAACTTTAAGGCTTAATATAATTTAAACGGATGAGTTATAAAAAAATTCACGCCCCGCACAGTTGTCATGAAGGGCAAAATTAGCTATATA